TCTTCCATATATACTAGAGTATCCAACTCGCCTATGTAAAAAGGCATTTGACATATCTAGTTGCTCAAACATGCTAATTATTAGTGATCGACAAGGATAGGATGAGACAGATGGTGATGGGTTTCACCATCGGACTAAATGTATCATCATAGTCGGGACGAGGACATTGATGATAGCCTTTAGCCACTAAACAAGCTTTGTAACGATCAATAAATTTATCAAGTAGTCGTTTAATTTGGTAAACCCATTTACAACCAATGATGTTAGGAGTTTGGGAGTGGGGCATTAAATCCTGTGTGTCATTGGTTAGAAGAGCATCAATTTCTTTATGCATAGCTTATCGCCAGGTGAGGTTAGGTGCTAGCCATTATGATGGAAGTGGATTTTGTAGTTGGAATAGAGATGAGGAAGGTTTAGGCTTAGTGTGCCATGTTTTGGCGAGTGAGCATAAGGTGAGAAGGAGGTAGTGGTTGTCGTCGGTGGTTAGTCGGATCTCGGTAAAGGGATGGTGGTTTGGTCAACCCATAGCTATAGAGTGAGATTTAGAGAAATAGTAAGTCGGACTAAAACAATGAAAGAAAAAGAAATTATTTATGATATGAAAGAAAAAGAAAGTGGCTAGAGAGATTTGGAATATTTACCTAAGGAGTGATTGGTCGATGGTCGCGAGTTTGTTTAGGGAGAAGCCTATATGGGTAGTTTGAAAGGGGATTACGGATCTAGATCGGGAGCGGGTCGGGCTAAAGTGGTAACCCGTGAGGTTTGTTTAGAAATGGAGTTTAAAATTAGATGTTTAACAAGTTAGGTCGGATTTATGGTAGTGGGCTAAGCGGTTTCTTTTTTTCTTTTTTTTTTTTTTAGAAGTGGAGTCGGGCATGTGGTGGCTAGATAAGTTTTAGAGGAATTGAAAGAGAGATAAATGTAAGTTCTTTTAGAGAAGGAAACAATAGAGGCAAGTTTGGTAGAGGGTGTCGTGATCGGATTTTTGACAATGGAGTTAACACCTCCATTGGCATCCCCGAATGGAAAAACCTATTTATCGAAAATAACATGACATGAGATATAGATTTTATTGGATTTAATATCTAAGCACTTATACCCTTTATAACAAATTATAGCCAAGCGAAATATAACTAATAGAATGAGGTTCTAGTTTGTTCTTGGCATATGGGCATAACCAAGATTGGAAAGGCAACCAAAAACATATAAATAATTATAATTTGAAACTTCCTATAAAATAATTTCATAAGGAGATTTATGATTAAGTTAGAGTGTAGAAAGACGATCGACATAGTAGATAGTAGTGAAAAAGGCATGATCTCAAAAGTATAAGTGGACTGGATGTATGATAAAGTAATACTCGCTAGTTTTAGTGATGTGTCCGTGCTTTCTTTTAGCATAGTCATTGTGTTATGGTAAAGATGGGATTTTAATTATCAAACATAAGCACGAGATCCGGATGCATAGCCGGAGGCCATCTTCTATCATGTTTCTCAAGCGAGAGGACACCAGTCATCTATGACAACTCCTTCGTAAAGAGAATTAATTATCCAACTTAGTACTAGTTGGTTTTTGATAAACAAATCTTGATAAAATGGTTAGGAGCTCCATCAATTTAAGCAAGTGTTGGAAATTCAAACCATCAACATGATTCATGACTATGTAATTTTGGAGAATGGATGTGAGTTATTTGTTCGAAGCAAAGATATCCATGGGGCGGTTCGTCCTATTCGGATATTCACGATCAAAAAATACTAGATTCTCTTTCGAATAGGCTTTGACTTTTAGATGAAACCTAGATCTTTGTTTAGTTATTAAAAATGACTCTTCAATCAGCCTTTAATCGAAGTAGGTTTACCTAAACTAAGGATGGGTTTTTGGAGTTAGCTCCCTCGTGGAATTGCGACCCTTTGTCCCGACCATTAGTAGCACGTATGTCGCCTCGGGCTTAAGGGGCATGATGACTTGACATCAATACTCACCTTCCTCCGCTTATCACCAACAATCCGCTCAAGGTTCTACGCTGTTTTTCTTCTATCTTTTTATTCTAAGGAGAACTAAGAATTCGCCTTATGACCAAGCTTACCTTATATGAGAAGTGGATTCGATAAGATATGGAACTTGCCGAGTTAGGGTAAAAAGAAAAGTCTATTGTCAAGTTCATTCTTTAACATGATCGGAAAAACCTCATTTCCTTTACTTTCTTAGCAAGACGCATGAGCAAGACGACGGAGGAAATGCTATATTTTTTCTTTTGAGTAAACCATAGAAGGTAATTTATGGAGTTGAGCTTGAGAAAAAGCTAATGTTGAATGTGAATAAGAGAAGTAATTTACATGATGGAATGGTTAAGTGATTCTAGAGGAAGGTTAGTGGATTTTAAGGAAAAAGAAGACATCATGATAGGGGTAATGTATGTTTTGGAAAAGATAACGATTGCTGAAGGAAGAAGAAGATGAACGACAATGGCTGAAAAGAAAACAAAGGCAAATTTGGGTAATGATGTTTATGATTAAGGGTAGTTTATGGCTAGAGAGGAATGGACAATAATGGCGGTTAAGCTTAGGTTTGTACTCGATTTAAGGAAAATTACGAAGCGATGATTGGAGAAAGAGATAGATAGAAGCAAGATTGGGCAATGACTCGTTAATAACTAAAAAAACAAAGGAGAGAGAGATGTATGGAAGAAGGAAAGTTGGGCGAGTAGTTGTTAAGCCTAGATATGCTCTAATACCATGAAGAAACCAAGAATTGATTGCAAGGAATTTTTCACACACACTTTGTATTACAATAAACTCTTTAAATAGAGTTAGAGATAGAGTTACAGTAACTTTTAGAGATAGAGTTTTGGTGACATTAAGTTACTATAATATATATAACATCTAACTCTTATCCTTATAGAAACATTATCAAATTCTTATCTTTATTAGATTTCTCTAATTTTTCTTTCATGGTGATGAAAAAATTGTTCACTTCATGTTTTTAGATTTTTTTTCTTTATAAGAATCAATAAATTTAGATTAATAATTAGTAAAAATTGGCAAAAGAAATCATAAATAAAATTACAAAGATTAATTTTTTTTAGATTTGATGTTCTTTTCGCTTGGTTATTGAGAAGTAGCATAAAATGATTTAACTAATGTATGAAAACGAAGTCCACAATAATTATGATACTGTTCGAGTTGCTTATGGACTATTTGATAAGATTCAGTCAATATCGGAGGAGTTAGCTATTACGTGAAAGGCTTCTCATGCAAGGCTTGTATGAAAACGAAGTCCACAATAATTATGATACCGTTCGAGTTGTTTATGGACTATTTGATAAGATTCGATCAATAACAGGGGAGTTAGCTATTATGTAAAAGGCTTCTCATGCAAGGCTTGGATTAGATGATAATGCTTACATGGCATCTCTCGTTATAGTGTCACCGAGAGTCGTGGAAATGTGAGCTGGATTTTATTAGAAAGTAGTTAGTTTGTTAGAAGATAGTTACAAGAATTAGTTAAAGAATTTGTTAGCCTAGGGATAATCCGTTATACAAGGAGGGAAGCTCATTTGTAATGTTAGGCATAAATTTGTGTTTCTCTCTCCTTCGGATTTTCTTTTCGTATTTTTTCTATCTAGAATTCTCTCTCGTTCTTCTTCCTTTTCTTGCATTTTCTTGAAACGATTGCAAATTCTTACGGACCTAGCATTTTCACTAGGAAAAGGAAGCCTTGCTACTAAATGTATTTTGTTTTGTGTTAAAACCATCACTCTATTTCGTATGTTTTGGTTTTTTCACTTTGATAAACTCTATTTAGCTGGGATGTTGTTGAGGATTGTCGCTGCTGTTTTTTTATCTACCATAATTTTTATTTTGTTTTTTAAGCTAAGGGGGTAATATTAGAAAATTTTAATCTAGAAGAGTACAAGTGAAACATCCTTAAATATTTTGGAACAAAAATAAAAGTTATCCTTTTTTTATTAGTTAGTCTAAATGCCTTGACTCGAGTGAAAATCAAAGAATGTTAAAGAACATATCTTATGTTAAATAATTAAAAATAAAGATAATAAATATATAAGTTTGAAAAGAGTCATTTATCATAAAATTTAAGTCTTTTTTATGAAATTTAATTTTTTTATCTAATTTTATATAGTATTAAAACCTTAAAAATCTTGAAATTCAAACCACCACATTAAATATTTAAAACTAAAAATAATAAATATATAAGTTTAAGAAAAAGCTACCGGCCGTAAGACCTAAAAAACTGTGACTGTATACTTTGTTGTAGTGTGTGTGTGTATATATATATATATATATATTCCATTACTCTGATGCAAGTGAACGTATAAAGGTAGCCATATTCCACGCACTTTAACTTTATACGTCCAAAAAAACCCAACTTTACCAATGAATTGATTTTGAATAGTGCATGCGTCAGATAAATTATATTAAAGCGTTGATTTCTTCTACACATAGCGAAGTCAATAGTTTAATGACCATTTTTCTTTTAAATTAAAGAGCAAGTTTGCTTGGCAATTCATAAGTAGCAAGAGTCTCTTGCTCTGCTGTGCTACTGTGAGTTTAGTTTTGATGTGAGAGAAAGCAAAGAGGAAAGAGATAAGTGATTGTCTGCTCAATTGGTGAAGCTAGTTTTAATTAGAGTTTAAGATCACGACTCAAATTAAAGGTACGTACCTACCTCTGCTTTTATTTATTTTCTTGCTCCTTAATCCCTTCTGCGTTTATTTTTTCTGTCTTTTTTATGCTACTGCCACTGCAACTAGACTCAATTTTGTTGATCAGTTTAGAGTGTACCCAGTAGAATGCTAGCCAGTAAATTTTTTTATATTTTAGTGTTATTTATTTATTTATTCAGCATATATTCACTGATAATGCAAAAGTTTCATCCATCTAGTTACCAATAGCAACACTTTCTATGCATGCTGTAAGTCTCTTTCATACTAATTTCCCTGTCTTATTAATGTTTGGAATTTTCTAATTGATAGATTACAAATGTCTATGGCAAATGCAATTGTTCCTGAAACGCTGAGACATGGTAACTATGATAGTTGGAGTGCCTGGATGAAAAACTATCTGTTGGCTCAAGATCTCTGGGATTTGATTGAATCGCCAAGTGGCACGGAACCTCCTAATCAAGAAGTTGCTAAAGAGGAATATAAGGCTTGGAGGAAGAAAAATGCCACTGCTTTACATGCCATTCAAATTTGCTGCTGGCCGTATATGAATTTTAAGACTGAGCTGAGCACCGATTCAGCCAAAATTGCTTGGGATAATTTGGCCAATTCATATAGAAAGCCATTGCCATTGCCAGTTCCAAAAGGCAATGCTGGAAAGTTTCAAATTCCTGACTCAGACTCCGATTTTGACGAATTTGACGATACAGACTCCGACTTTGACACAGACAATGGCACTGGTAAATTTCCAACAAACTCCTTAATCTTTATTATTCTTGAATCTTGATTATTCCTCTGACACTGACATTCAAATCTAAGCATGGAGTAACTATGGTTATTAACAGCCATAATATGTTAACTCTGTCAGGAAAGGTTAAGGATGACTATACTCAATTTGCTGGCCTAGCAGACTCTGTATATAGAGGTGACTGGCATTCAACAATGAACTTTCTTGACAGACATCCTGGTGTAATAAATTCAAAGATTAATTCCTTTGGCCGAACTGTCCTTCATATGGCGACTATAACTGGAAATGTGGAAATCGGAGAAAAGTTGGTAAAATTAATGTCGAAAGGAGCCTTGGCGATACAGGATGTTGATGGTAACACAGCCCTTCATTATGCTGCTTGCCGAGGAGCTGCTAAAATGGCAAGGCATATAGTCGAAAAGAATGATACATTGGTCACCATTGCAAATAAACGGCAATATATCCCAATTGCATCCGCTTGTGCAAGTGGATATAGAGATGCTACCATCTATCTTCTCTCAGTAACTCCTCTTGAAGTGCTGTCATTAGATAATGGCATCCATGGGTCTTTACTCCTCCGACATGCTATAACATCCAAAATGTTAGGTAAGAACTGCACTACTCCTCGTTAGTCATTAATTTCACTACTTGCTTCATCTATTATTATTGCTTTTAAATGGCATAACCGGTTTTTTTTTTTGTTTTTTTCCCTTGCATGATATAATATCAGATATTGCTTTGGAAATATTCCGCCGTTGTCCTAGTTTCGCTATTGCTACGGGTGCTAAGGGCGAAGTATTCCACCATTTGCCTAGTTTCTATCTTCCTAAGGGTCCTATGGGCCCTAAGGGTCCTATGGGCTCTATGGGCCCTAAGGGTCCTATGGGTCCTATGGGTCCCATGGGCCCTAAGGGTCCTATGGGGGCTGCCTATCGTAATACTGCCTTATGGGCATTATTGGATGCGTCAAGGGACTTGTTTCCAAGTGGATGTCAACTTGGATTTTGGCAACGATGGATTTATTCATGTCAGTATATATATTTCCTTTAATATATATATATATATATATATATTGCACTATAATGTAAATACGCAGTGAGATCAAAATGACTCTTATATAAAGTAGTTTGGAGATGATATCCTAATGTAGTTGACTTTATGTAAAAGGTATACATGTTCGAGCACCACTCAATATCGGCAAAGATGTTCATACGCATATTCTAGATCAAAGCCAGCATGATTTAAGGATCATTATGCAACGAGGTACGAATGTTTTGTTCATTTAATTTATCTATTTATTTTCCAGTACCTTTTTTTCAGAGAGATTGAGATGGCATTTTCATGAATAGGGCTTAAATTTTTCTAAAACTAGACCAGCCAAATTTGAGCAAAATAATGAATCAAAACAAGGTTTAAACTCTTTTGCAACTCTATGTTTTTCTTGTGTTTTATTAATTGTTTTTCGATACATTTTTGCAGTGTTGGGTAAATGGAGCAGACATTTCATAAATTTCCTTGAATTCTCAGGTACATGTCCAATAACAAGATCAATTTCTTGTATCATCATTAGCATCATTTTATTCTGATTTTGTTCTTTAATTGTAGGAATCATAAAAATATACGAGTTGAAGATGAATCACACCTATTCTTCTAGACTTCTACAAAGTATGTGTGAACATATATCAACGTTAGATACCAATACATTCCATCAGATTGGAGTATTCGAAGCCTGCATGAAAGCAGTTGAGCTAGGTTTTGTTGAGTTTATTTTAGAGATGGTTAAAATCTCTTCTTCCTTACCGTATGGTTTTGATACGTATGGAAGAAACATGGTTATGTCCTCAATTGAACATCGAAAAGAAAAGGTTTTTAACCTTTTTTATGGGTTAGCAAGACATAATTTTCTTGTGGATAATTCTGGGAATACAATGTTGCATTTGGCAGCAATGCGGCCTTCCCCTCAATTCAGTAAAACCCCCAGCGCAGTTCAGCCTTCCACTCAATACAGTCGAAAGTCAAGCGCAGCTCTTAAGATGCAAAGAGGGCTGCAGTGGTACAAGGTGATCTGCTGAAACCATATATATTTGGTGGACATTCTTGATATTCATAATATGCATGATAAGGATTTTGATGTGTTTTAATCTGCATTAAATTTTCTATCTGCTACAATGATGTATGCAGGAAGTAGAAAGCATCGTTCATCCTGCAGCTAAATTCACTCGCAACAACATGGGTGACACACCTAGCCAACTATTTTCTAAGAATCACAAGCATTTAGTAAAAGATGGGGAGAAGTGGATGAAGAGCAGGGCAACTTGTTGTGCAGTGATTGGTGCCTTTATAATTACCATCATGTTAGCTGCAGCATTTACTGTTCCAGGGGGTAACATTCAAGACATGGGCATTCCTGTATTCTTACATAAGAAGGCTTCCCTGACTTTTATGATATCGGATGCAATTTCTCTCCTTGCTTCCTCTACTTCAGTGTTGATGTTCTTGGCAATCCTCACAGCTCGTTATGCAGAGGAAGATTTTGTGATATCCTTGCCCAGGAAGTTGATAATAGGCCTTTCCACACTTTACATTTCGATTGCAGCTATGATGGTTGCCTTCTGTGCAGCTCTTATGATTATATTAAATGGAAAGCTGGAGGTTATCATTCCAATTATTTCACTTGCTGCTATTCCAGTCACCCTTTTCATGTTTTCAGAACTTCCCCTCCTGGTTGAGATCTTCATGTCAACATACGGACCCAGCATCTTCACCAGGAAAAAGAAGCCTCGGTACTAAATGTATTTGTTTTGTGTCCAAACAGTCCCTCCATTTCTTTATGTTTTAAAGTGTGTTTAGCTGGGATGCTCTTGAGGAAGACCCAGCATCTTCTCCTCCTGGTTGTTTGCTTTGTTTTCCTTTCGTTGTTGTTCTGCCTGCAGTTTGCAGAGACTTATCTTAGGCCTGTGCTCTGCTTCTATGTAATATGCTCCTCAAACTATCGTTTCATCTTTGTATAAACCGCTTTGTCTAATCAATAAAAAATTGTTGACGTATTTCATATGTGCTAGGTCTTCCATATATGTAGCGTTAACATACTTATAGTTGCAATCTCTTGGAAAAGGATTAATGCTAGTTAAAATTGCTGAACCTTCAAATTTTTTTTTTAATTATTATTACTACTTTATTCAACGATAAGAGTCTAAATTCCTTATCTTGACAATTTTAAAGATGCATATTCCAAATCTACATAATGCATTAAGAAAAATTTGATAAATTCAACATGTACTTGGCTCAAGATTTGAATTCAGAAAATCAAGGAATGGAGTATACCTTCTGAATCTCCGGATCAGCTTCTTATGATTATGTTATCATCCCACTTGGATTGCTTGCTATTCCTATCTCACAATCAAACTCTAGGAAACAAAACTTCCTACTAAGTTTGGACCTAATACAAATAAAAGCTTATCCTTGAGGATCCATAATTGACAATCCAAGAAAACTAGAATAGGCTGCATGTTGTTGGCCTAATGCAAATAAAAGCAACAATGAAAACTGCTAAATGTGTTCGGCTTGAAGGAGAAAAGCCATGTAACGATAACGAGAAAGTTTTTAGAATAGTAGAGCTTCTGAGTGGTTAGAAAAACAAAAAGGATGTTTGATTAAATGTGTAATTGAAAATCTATTTGTATTAAAATTAATAGAAAAAATTTACGTGATTTTATTAAACATGTAATTTATTTCATTAAAAAATATTTTAATACTTTTTTGAGTGTGAGGTTTACATATGCTTCACACGAGAAATTTTATAATACACTAAGAATAACTAATGACATGTACAATAGTTACTCTATGAATCCATTTTAAAAATAGGTCTTTTCCACACCTTCTCATGCTTATCTCAAAATTTAGACACTTTTTCTTTCAAGAGTATAAAAAACTTGAAATCTTAATTTTAAAACCAACTTGTAATCAACAAAAATGAATGAAGGATGATCCTTTTGAAGTATAAAAACGGAAATAATTTGAAAAGGATTAGAAAGAACATAAATTTGATACTTTGTCGTTAAAAACAGACAACTCTCAATAAAAATCAAGAAGATTAAGATATATATGATTTCAAATATAAAAATTCAATTCTAATTGCATTCAAAACTCTAAGGGCATAACAATGATTTACTCGCGCAGTATAATACGTTTGGTGATCTACGTACTGTTTTTCTACTGCGTAAATGATAGCATCATTATCAACAATATATATCTTTTGGACGTGGTCACAACGTAATATAATTATTGCTGTCCTACAATAATTGTTGCCATCACCTAATTATTGTCTTTTGCACTTTTCTAATGTTAACCTTTTATTTTTATTTTATTGCATGTGGATAAGACCCGCTCTTGTTGGATTTTATCTAGGAATTGGTGTTTGCATCATGATTAGGCACGGGGTTTAAGACCTTTGGAAGACCTTATGTCAAAAAAGTAAGCTCTGCCACGTTGAAAGGCAGCAGACATGATGAGGTGCGGGTTCTTTATTTTTCTCAGTGTTTCTGCTTTCGGTGAGAAAGTATTGGCCAACTGGAAGGCTACAATGGAGAAAGTTGCTTTCGATAAAAGAAACAGATAAATTATATTGAAAATTTTTAATAATATTTATAATTTTATAATATCTAAAAAAGTACATTATAATTTATTTATTTTAATTTTATAAATTTTTTAATTTAATTCACAAGTGAGAGTAAAAATTTTTGCATCATTTTATTCTGAATTCATATTCTCAAAATATCTTAACAAATTTTATGTTTCATACGTGTTTTTTTTTTTAAATTCATAAAAGATATTTCAGAAAAAAATATTTTTATCATCATATTTTTTATACATGTAGTTTTTAAAAAGAATGAATGGAGATATATATATAAAAGTAGAAAGATGAAATTAAAAAAAATAAATTAAAACATATCGTAATTTTATAGGAATAACGATACGATTTAATACCATTAGCTCTAAAAGTTAGTGCAAAAATAAATATAAGACAAAAAAAAGTTGAGAGGCAAACTTAAAATGAAAAAATAAATAAAAATAAAAGAATACAATCAAAAGTAAAGAAAGAGTAGAAGAAACATGCAACCCATTAACGAAGGCCGTGGGCCCATGCTTTTGAATTAAATTGATTCAACAAAGCCTAAAAAGGAGCAATTCCAAACATGTAGGTCAAGTTTCCTTGTGCCATGTGCGAAGGCCGTGGGCCCATGCTTTGTTCATGAGATAGGAAATCTTACTCTGATTCCTCTAAATTTGCTTTCATGGAGATGTGAAAATTGTTCACTTTATGTTTTTATATTTTTTTCTTTATAGGAATCAATAAATTTAGATTAATAGTTAGTAAAAAATGGCGGAAAAAAAATGCAAATAAAATTGCAAAGATTATTTTTTTTTAGATTTGATGTTCTTTTTGCTTGGTTATAGAGAAGTAGTATAAAATGATTTAAAAAACAGGAGTCCACAGTAGCCATTGACGGAGAGATCCAAAAATCCTCCAATACTAAGAGTAATAATTTGGGTTTCAAGCAATATGGTTGGTGGGGGTTTAAGTATTTTAAGGTTAGTATGTATCCTAAGTAAAACTCATCAAAACGATAAATCAAATGTCAGCCATTCAAAGCTGCAGATCACCAAGCTTGAGTTAAAACATTAGGGATCACCAAGCATAATTCAACAGCTAGCTCCTAGCATCCAAGTTGGTGATCTGATTTTTCATTGCATCAGTGGGCAGTGGCTGCATGCGTTTGTTAATAAATTAAGGAAGCAGCTTCAAGTTCAAGGTCTGTGGTTTCTTCCCTTTCCTTTATCGACCAAAGTAATGAGATTTGTTATTCTTGTTGTTTCCTGTTCCTGCAAGAATATATATATATATATATATATATATATATATATAGTAATTTAGCAAACTCTATATCTTGACAAAGTTATGAATTTGTCAATATATGTCGGACTAAATTAATCTTCTCTTAGTTATAAATTTATTGATTAAATCATCTTGAACTTAATACAATGTTTTATATGACAAGTAATCACTTGTATAACACTATTCATCAACGTCTCATCAGTTAATAAGATTTTTATGAATTACTTTTCGGTTTGCATAGAGTTTTCACTTTTGACCGTACGTAGGACAGACAAAGATTGATTACTCTTGAGTTGTGAGAAATAAAAACATAAAAAATATTTTTATAGCTATATAATTCTTTATGGTAGTATTATATTGTATTTATATGTAAAACTTTGTATAATAAAAACAAAATTTTAGTGTCTTATAATACAAAAAAATATAAACAACAGTATAAAAAATTAGAATATATTATATAGAAAAAATACTTATAATTTAATATTTTGCATATGTTTTCCTTGATTAGCGACATCAATTCAGCTAAAATTGCATGGGATACTTTACCCGGCGCCAATTTATTTAGAAAGTCATTATTGCAGTCAGCATCACCATCATCACAATTCAGATAAATTATATTAAAAAAAATTAATATAACTTATTTCCATCACCACCACTATTACTCGTCATTAACACCACCACCACCACTACCACCACCATCATAACATCATAACCACTACCACCACAATCACTACGACTACTAACATCATCACAACCACCACAACCATCATTATCACAATCATAATCACTATCATTGTCGTAATTATTACCGTCACCGCCACCATTAGAATCACCATAATCACTACCATCACGTTTATTATTTTTATAACTATTATAGTTTAATAAAATTATTTTTTAATCATTATTTATATTTGTATATAAAATCGGATATTAAAAAATTTAAATTGTATTCGATTCTTTATTAGTATTCCAAATATAGTATTGGAATACAAATACCATTCCGATTCCTTAATTTTCATTCTGATTCCTACATTCTCATTCTCATCACTTTATTTTTCATTATCAAACAGACACCTAAGAGAATTTTTTTATAATACAAGTTGATCAAAGCATCCAATTCTTAATTACTATTCCAATTTTATAAATTCGATATTCCTACCTCCTACTTTTTATATATAAACAAAAATCAAAAAATCAAAAAAATAAAAAATCGTACAAGCAGACGATCATCCGATTAGTTATTGATTGAAAAAGAAATCGAAGAGGTCTACACTGCTTCCATAATACAACAAACACGTGTAAACAATGAGCAAACACGTGGCATGTAAAGAATCTATTGCATGTGTATCTATTGCCTCTTGTTTGGATATTTCCTCTTGGGAGGAAAGAAAAGAGAGGAAAGAAAAAGGAGAGAAAAAAAAATTATTTTTCACTTGTTGTTTGGATAAGAGTAGAAATGAAAGGAAAGAAAGTATATTTTCCTTATTTGGATAATTGTAAAAAGAGGAATGAAAGAAATTGTGTTATTATATATTTACTATAATACCCCTATAATTATATTTCTATATTTAAATACTTATAATAAATTTGTATGAATATTTGATTAAAATTGCACAAATGATAATAAAATAAAAATCTAACATGTAGCATCTATCTAAAATAATAAGATGGATAATAAATCATCTCTATAGAATAATCAATAACCGTTTACTAATTAATTAATTCAATAGCCAATTTAGATTAATTATCAACATAAAATTAATTTAAATATGTATAACATATATTATTATCTATGCATATAAAATTAATTAATTCAATAACCAATTTAGATTAATAAGTTAGTTACTTTTATCCATCATTTTTCTCAGCTTTTTTTTATTTTGAATTAAAAAATTATTATTTAGCAATCCATGAAAAAGAGTTTATTAAATCATTTCAAGAGATATGTTTTCTCTCTGAAAAGAAAATTGGTTAATAATGAAGAAGTTCATTCAACAATATGTAATAATCTGGCAAATTTGGAGGTACTGCCAAGGAATTAGGCTATTATTTTGAAAGAAGAAAAGGTTTCACAATAACAGGGACTCCATATTGTGGCTGCAAAGTCAAGTGATTGCCTCTGCAACTGTGGGTGCATCTAGAGGAGGACATGGCTGGAGAAGTGCACCAGGAGGCCTGCCATTCTTTACTGATTTATGATCAGCAAGTGGCCGTCCTTGGAATTTAGCAATAACTATGGACTCATTGAACATGGCTGAATTCCCAAACTTCTTTGGCAAGTTCAAGTCAGGGTGCGATGCAAAGGGTCGAGTCTCCGACTCATCTTCTAATTGAACCTTAAAATCCTTGCTCCTATGAATCTTCACAAATTGAATTGTTACACGTACACCTTTTGGAATCATCAAATTCCCTAATTTTATATCTTTTGCTGCCTCTCTATCCATATCCATTACTGCACCATATAGCCTCAAAGTCTCAAGAAGAACCATGTTCACCTGCAAATTAAATAAAAGCCCTTTCATCAATCATTAATTTAAAACTATATATGCTTTGTTATAGTACTTAAAATTAAGAGGAATATTAATACTGCATATATAGTTTACCTCTTTCAACTTGGTAAGCACATCAGCTTTAGGAATTCCCATCCCGCATTCCCTTGGCACCTCTTCCCTAACTCTCTCTTGCCATTCTTGATGTAAGCTCAACAAGAATATGGTCTAACTTGATAGATTGGCAGTGGACTCCTAGCCAGAAAATAAAGAATTGTTTGCTCTCATCTATGACTTCGTCCATATGCAACTTGAGATTCTTATTGGTAGTTTTTAAGGCATCAATCAGTAAACCAAGTATATCATCTCCATAAAATCCATCTAATAAATTTCTTTTAGAATCAATCGTCTCAACAAAAAAGCATAAAATTTCCAAGAAATATGCAAATTCACAATCCTCTTGCAAGTGATTGAATTGAGCCAATGATCTATTAAATCATTTCAAACATCAGCTTTAACAAGAAACCCAGAGGCTTCGATTCAAATTCCAATTTTAACCCCAAGTCCCAAAATTTCAGATTAAATCAAGAAAAAAAAATACGGATCAAGAAAACATAAACCCAATTTCAAGTTTGAATCTTTAACCCCAAACAAAAAAATCCTAAAACATGGAATTTAAAGCAAATAAACAAATCAAGAAAGGAAAAGGAAAGAAACAAAAAGAAAGCAGAGATCTTGAATTGTGAGTACTTACAAATAAAGGGAAAAATTGATAGAAGCAAGACGAATCCAAAACTGCCCTTAAGGAGATCGATCATGGGAGTATAAAGAACCGTAATAGCAAAGACGATGGTGAAGGCAAGCCGAGCAGCCAAGATACCATAAACTTTGCGAATCAAGCCTCATCGTAACCGGTTCTCTCCAAGAGAAATGGAGAGGGACGGATGGGGCAGATGAGGGCAAAAATGAGAATTTCTATATTCGGATCTCATTGCCGTGCGTTTCCTCCCAGTTTCCTCCCAATTTTGAGAGGAGAATGGGTCCCACTTAAAATACGTTTTTTTATTATTTTTTTCTTTCCACTCGCTTTCCTCTCCTAACCAAACAGAGGAAAACATTTCTTTCCTCTCCCCCACTTTTCTCCCTATCCAAATAAGAGGTTGAGTAAATTATAAATTAGTCCTCGTTGTTTCGAAAAAAACAAATTAATTAATTTTTTTAATTTTAAAAACTAATTATTTAATTTTTTTTATTCTAAGTTGATAATGAATAATTTAATATTTTTTATTTATAAAATATTTTTTTCATCAATTATTTTTCTATTTTTTAAATAAAAAATCAAAATAAATAATAAAAAATTAAATAATTAGTTTTAAAACTAAATGTATTAATTAATTTTTTTTTGAAATCAAAGATTAATTTATAATTTATTCGTATTTACGAGGACGCCAATTTATTTAGAAAGTCATTATTGCAGATCAGCATCACCACCATCACAATTCAGATAAATTGCATGGGATCCTTGATTAGCGACATCAATTCAGATAAATTATATTAAAATTTTTTTAATAGTATTCATAATTTTATAATACCTAAAAGAGTACATTATAATTTATTTATTTTAATTTTATAAATTTTTTAATTTAATTCAAAAGTGAGAGTAAAACTTTTTGCATCATTTTACTCTGAATTTATATTCTCAAAAAATCTTTAAAAAATTTATGTTTCATACAATTTTTTTTAAATCCATAAAAGATATTTCAGATAAAAAAATTTGTTATCCTTATCTTTTTTTATACATGTAGCTTTTAAAAATAAAGAATTATCGGATATATATACATGTACTCTCTTTTTTAAATTTTAAATTTTTATTTTATAAAATTCAGTTATTTACATTGAAAAAAAATGGAAGAACAAGATTAAGATAGAAACAAAAAAGATGAGATTAAAAAAAATAAATTAACACATATCGCAATCTTATAAGGCTAATGATGCAATTTAACACCATTAGCTCCAAAATTTAATGTAAAAATAAACTTAAGAAGAAAAAAAAGTTGAGAGACAAACTTATAATGAAAAAAATAAAAAAATAAAATAAAAGAATACAATCAAAAGTAAAGAAAGAGCAGAAGAACCATGCAACCATTAACGAAGGCCGTGGGCCCATGCTTTTGAATTAAATTGATTCAACAAAGCCTAAAAAGGAGCAATTCCAAACATGTAGGTCATGCTCCTTTGTACCACGTGCGAAGGCCGTGGGCCCATGCTTCTTTCATGAGATGGGAAATCTTACTCTGATTCCTCTAAATTTGCTTTTATGGAGATGCGAAAATTGTTCACTTTGTGTTTTTATATTTTTTTTCTTTGTAGGAATCAATAAATTTAGATTAACAGTTAGTAAAAACTGGCGGAAAAATCGCAAATAAAATTGCAAAGATTTTTTTTTTTTCACATTTGATGTTCTTTTTGCTTGGTTATTGAGAAGTAGTAGAAAATAATTTAACTAATGTATGAAAACAGAAGTCCAAAATAGCTACTGAGGGAGAGATCCAAAAATCCTCAAATACTACGAGTAATAATTTGATCTTTATTTCAGCATTGTATTTCAGATTTTTTATTATTATTATTATTATTATATATTTAAATATATTTATTGATGATGAATCCATTATCCAAGCTCATATGTATCACTTAGTTGTTTTAAAGAAGTAAATACTTAGTGCATATAAAAGTAATGTTATATATATATATATTGTAAAGGTATTTTTAAATTACTAAGTCGTGGAAAATTTATGATTACTTAAAAAGAAAATAAAAATGTTATTATTCAAATCAATAGATTAAATTTTCATAAATGTCAGGCAATGAGATTTAGAAAAGTTGTAGAAAATTAAGTTGGATTAAATGTGATCGATGTTTTGAGCGAAGTAATGAAAAAAATTAATAAAAGACTCGCTTGTAATTAGTGTAACAGAACGGTTGGTGAAATGCTCAAACAGTTTGGCCTATTTCAGCTTATCGCCATATGAGGGCAAATCAAGAGGTTTCAAGCAAGGGCAAAATGGGATATTAACACAAGTCTTCCGGGACTCAACGTGGTTGATGGGGGGTTTAAGTATTTTAAGGTTAGTATGTATCCTAAGTAAAACTCATCAAAACGATAAATCAAATGCCAGTCATTCCAAGCTGCAGACCACCAAGCTAGAGTTAAAACACTAGGGATCACCAAGCATAATTCAGCTGCTAGCTCCTAGCATCCAAAGTTGCTGGTCTGATTTTTCATTGCATCAGTGGCAGTGGCTGCATGCGTTTGTTAATAAATTAAGGAAGCAGCTTCAAGTTCAAGGTCTGTGGTTTCTTCCCTTTCCTTTATCGACCAAAGTAATGAGACTTGTTATTCTTGTTGTTTCCTGTCCTGCAAGAATATATATATATATATACACACACAAATTATATCTTGACCAAGTTATGAATTTGTCAATATATGTCAGACTAAATTAATCTTCTCTTAGATATAAATTTATTGATTAAATCATCTTGAACTTAATATAATGGTTTATATGACAAGTAATCACTTGTATAACACTATTAATCAATGTCTCATCAGTTAATAAGATTTTTATGATTTACTTTTCGGTTTGCATAGAGTTTTCACTTTTGACCGTAGGGCAGACAAAGATTGATTACTCTTGAGTTGGGAGAAATAATAACAAAAAAAAATATGAAAAATATTGTTATAGCTATATAATCCTTTACGGCAGTATTATATTGTATTTATATGTAAAACTTTGTATAATTAAAACAAAATTATAGTGTCTTACAATACAAAAAAATATAAACAGCAGTATAAAAAATTAGAATATATAAGATAGAAAAAATACTTATAATTTAATATTTTGCATATGTTTTCTTTGATTAGTGACATCGATTCAGCTAAAATTGCATGTGATACATTGTCCGGTGCCAATTTATTTAGAAAGTCACTAGCATATATCTCACGTGTTGCTGCAAAGTGAGCTATACAATATTCTTATATGCTCATTCATATAAAATTTAAAATTTAAAAATAATTAATTAAAAGGATTACGCGAAAAAATTAAAAAAAAAAATCAAAACCCTTATCTCATATTTTGCTATAGGATTAGCTAAACGAAAACTCTACAAAATTGAATAATATAATATTGCTAATTAGATATTGTTTGATATAAACATGTATTTTATTAGAAATATGTATAATAATTGATAATTAAAATAATGATATAATAGTTTTTTGAATTTTAAATGATTAATTATTATCATTTACTCTTTATCTATAATTTATTAATGAGATAGAGAGACCACCTAAAACAAAAAGACAAAAAAGCTTTCTCAAATCAAGAATCTAGCAAAAAAAAAAAAAAGATAAAATTCCACACAATAAAAATTAAATGATCAAAACAAAGTAAAGATCATAAAAGAAGGATCAAAATGAATAAAAAACTTCCACTCAAAGCAAGCAAAAAAAAAATTATAAACAATAAGACTAAAAAAAATTTATTATATATAAAGCAAGAACAAAAGGAAAACATAATAGAATTTTAATGACCAAAATAAAAAAAAATCATAAAATAAGAATCAAAACCGAAAATGTTTTTTACTAAAAGGCAACAAAAAACTTAAAATAGTAAAACGGTATTTAATTTCAGTGGAGAAAGAATAACAATCAAATATAATAAGACTTTAATGATCAAAATAAAAGAAAGATCACAAAATAAAAACCAAAATATAATAATAAGTTTTACTAAAAATTTCCTTATAGGGTAAAAATCAAATATAGTAAAAATTTAATGATCAAAATAAAAAAAAATTACAAAATATGGAGTAAAATAAAAATAAAATTTTACTAAATTCAATGGCTAAAACAAAGAAAAAAAATCACAAAATAGGAATTATAATAGAAAGAAAAGTTTAATTAAAGCAAAAAAAAAAAGAAAAAAAAAGAAAAACTTAGGATAGTGAAACTTTATTTAGTTTTATCATAGTAAGGATAAAAATAAAAAATGATAAAACTTTAATGACTAAAATAAAAACAGATCGCAAAACGAGAACTAAAAAAGATATTTTTTACTAAAAACCTAGAAAAAAATATTTATTATAGAAAAAAATCAAATATAATAAAATTTGAATATTTATTAATGGGAAAAAAATAAAATATAATAAAATTTTAATATTTATTATAGGGATAAAAATCAAATATAACAAAATGTTAATGATCGAAATAAAACAATATTACAAACCAGGGACTAAAATAAAAATAAAAATTAAAAGAGGGGCTTAAAAAATGCAACAAGGAAAAAAAATTCAAAACAAAACCTGTGAACAATTAATCTATAGTAAAAGTGCTACAGAACTTTTGCACTTTTGCATTTTCTTTTAATATATCTTGTTATAATAAAATTTTAATATTGATTAATGGGAAAAAAATAAAATATAATAAAATTTTAATATTTATTATAGGGATGAAAATCAAATATAATAAAAAGTAATGACCAAAATAAAAAAATATTACAAACTAGGGACTAAAATAAAAAAAAGGGGGCTTAAAAAACGCAACAAGTAAAAAAAAAAAACGAAACAAAACCTGTGAACAGTTTTGCATTTTCTTTTAGGATATCTTGTAATTATTGCAGTCAGCATCACAAGGTAACCCTCCAATCATCTCAGCATTTATTATGAAATAATGAAGCAAATCGTTTTTAGTCATTATCACACTCGCTTACCACCATGATCCTCACATATTATATACTGCATCTTAACCAGGAACACTTAATACAAAAATAAGTACCTTCGCTTCAGCAATGCCCGTATCAAACGATGATTACGCTCAATATGCTGACCTAGTAAAGTACGTACATGGAGGTGATTGGCATTCCACGGGAAGCTTTCTTAACCAACATCCACAGGCAATAAACGAAAAGATTTCATCCTATAACTGGACGGCCCTTCATATGGCGACTCGAGCTGGAAAAGTGGAGATTGTGGGAAATTTGGTAGAGTTAATGTCTACACAAGCCTTGGCGATACAGGATTCTAATGGTAACACAGCCCTTCACCTAGCTGCTGTAGCGGGAATCACAAAAATGTCCAGGTACATGGTCGAAAAGAATGAAGAAACGAGATCGCTTGCCATTGTAAATAACAAGGGATATTTACCACTAACAATGGCTTGTGCAAATGGGCATAGGGATGCCACTGTCTATCTTTCCTCAAAAACTCCTTTCGAACTGCTATCTATTCAAAATCCCCATGGGTCTCTACTCCTCCAATGTTCTATATCAAACAAAATGCCAGGTAAGAGGTTTCATACTTCATCCTCTTATTCGCACACGCGAGCAAGATTGCATTCTTGGTAAGCAGGGGCTTGGTACACAGTGAATAGCTAGCCTCTGAGCCTACAGGTGCAACGTGGGGTTGTGTTTTTTTATCCTCACTATCTAAAAAGAAATTTTCGTTGCACATGGAGCATCAAAATTTTTTTGCATGATATAATAACAGATCTTGCTTTGGAAATACTCCACCGTTGTCCTAGTTTGGCTACTACCAGCAATCCTATTATCAATTCCACTGCTTTATGGTCATTGGCTGCATTACCGGACCTTTTTCCAAGTGGATGTCAGCTTGGATTTTGGCAACAATGTATCAATTCATGTTAGTGTATTTTTATCTGCCAATTCAATTTCATTTCTATAAAATGATTTTGTATACCAAACTTCAAAAACCGTTGCAACTTCAAGTAGATTCAATTTACTCTTTTCTGAAGTACCTTCCAATATATTATTAACGAAGTCCTTTTTTATGAAAGGAATACATGTTCCATCACCCGTTCCTGGCAATGGTACTGTTGATACACATATTCTTAATCGAAGCCAGCATGAATCAAAGATCATTACGCAACAAGGTATGGATATTTTTTATCTCCTCCAACCCCATTTTATTGCCATTCCAACCAACCCCCCACCTTCTAAAAATCCTTCTCCAAAAAACAAGGTTGAAACCATCATTCTCTTTTCCCATTCTATTCACACATATTGTTATTCTTCTATAAAGTGTTAGAAACCATATTGGACATGATCATCTTTGAAGATCTCAACTAACAAATTAAACTTTTGGTTTAAGTAGTTCTAAGCAAATTACGTGAAATTTGTATAAATTTCTTCAAATTTTTAGGTAATATCTTCCAATAACAAGATAATCATTTTTGTATCATGCGTTACATAAAATTAATTATAATATTGTTTTCTTATTTTTAGAAATCAAGCAAATACATGATTTGAAGCTGAAGCACGCCTATTCTCACGCCTATTCTCTTATGGTTCTACATTTTATATGTGAACAAATATCATTATTGGATGAAAGTACATTTTACAATACAGTATATGGAGTGTTCATGAAAGCAATTGAACGCAGCATAATTGAGCCTATTGTGGCAATTTCTAAAGTCTATCCTATGGTTCTGTATGTTAATGATGCCTATGGAAGAACTCCTATGATGCAATCAATTGTCAATCGACAAGAAAAAGTTTTTAACCTATTTTGTGCGTATAGGTTAGAATTATATGGTCCAGATATATTTGGCAATATTCTTTTGCATTTTGCTGGAATGCATTCACCTTCTTCTCCATTGACTCGAATCTCAGGCGCAGCTCTACAAATGCAAAGGGAACTAAAGTGGTATAAGGTGATGACCTCAAACTCAAACATTGAATCCTTGTCGTCACATTTTGTATAAGCTCAGTGATTTTTGTGCAGAGAGTGGAAACTATCTATCAATTTCCTGCAGCTAAATTATATCGCAACAATAATGGTGAAACAGCGGCCCAACTATTTACCAAGAATCACAAACAGTTAGTGATAGAAGGGGAGAAATGGATGAAGGATACTGCAACTTCTCGTACAGTGGTGGGTGCCTTAATCATCACAATTATGTTTACTGCGGCATTTACCCTTCCAGGTGGTAATGTTCAAGACATTGGCATTCCGATATTCTTACATAAGATGGCTTTCAAAACTTTTATAATATCGGATACAATTTCTCTATTTTCTTCATCCACTTCAGTAAAGATGTTCTTGGGAATCCTCACATCTCGTTATGGAGAACAAGATTTTTTTGATCTCCTTGCCCAGAAAGTTGATAATAGGCCTTTCCACCCTTTTCATTTCTATTGCAGCAAGGATGGTTGCCTTCTGTGCGGCTCTTATAGTTATGTTAGATGGAACGATGGACCTTATCGTCCCTATTGTTTCGCTTGCATGTGTTCCAGTCACCTTGTTTACGTTCTTGCAATTTCCCCTACTGGTTGAGATATTTATGTCAACATATGGACCCAGCATCTTCAAGACTTCATCAGAAAACTGAAGTGTTTAGTACTAAATTTGAGATAATTATTTTTTTTTTTGCTAAGGTTGTAGATTATATATGTGCAAAGCTTTTTCTTTTCATTTTCGGTTTCCTTCTTCCTCGTATGAAATTTAAAAGTTTAATATCTGTAAAATAAAGAAAATGTATAAATTGGAAGTAATGATAAGGTAGTCTACGTGTTTGTCAAAAGTCTTCGTAGAATAAGCATATGCTTATTGATTTGTTTGAGGAAATTTCTAACCAATTCAATTCAAGTAGAGATGTTTTGTCTTCAAAGTAAAAAGACGTTCCTTCTTTGAAACTTCACTTCCTTTATTATAGTCATAGCTATTCAAGTCATACTACTATTTTTCAATGTGCGAAAGAGATGCAGTTTTACTATATTGACAATGACACTCCATCAATTTAAAACAGCACTCTACATTATTCACTATTCAAATTCATTTATTTTGCTATTATAAATTGAACATTTTATAAATGAAGCATTTGCTTTGTTTATGCGCAAGAACTAGTGAAAGAATTAAAAGAACAAAAGGCCATTTGCTGTATTGGAAGAGAAGGGGGATATATATATATATTCCATTACTCTGTATAAAGGTTTAAAGATCTCCCATATCCCACCAATCTTTAACTTTACATGTCCAAAACCCAACCACTAATGAATTAATTTGTATGTTAATAGTGCATGCGCAGATAAAATTTATTAAAGCGTTGATTTCTATTACAAAGATCGAAGCCAATCACTTGTGGCCTGACCATTTTCCTTTTAAATTAAAGAGCAAGTTGGTTGGCAATTCACAAGTAGTAATATTCTCTGGCTCTGCTGAGCTATTGCGAGTTTAGTTTTGATGCGAGTGAAAGCAAAGAGGACAGAGATAAGTGATAGTCCGCTCTATTGGTGAAGGTAGTTTTAGAGTTTTAGAGTTCGACTCAATTTAAAGGTACGTAGCTACCTCTTCTTTTATTTGCTTTTTGCTCCTTCCTTCTGCATTTATTTTATCTGTCTTTTTTACGCCACTCCACTGCAATTTGTTGCCGATCCATTTAGATTGTATAATCACTTGCCTGTACGGCTGAGAAAGAATTAAACGGTATCTATAGGCCATTTCTCAACTCCATCGATTCTGACATCTTGTTTATGAAACTGCATATTGATTTTTTTTTTTTTTTGCAAAAGTCTGCAACTTGAGTTTATAATTTTTATATTCTTTGGCAAATGGCTGCTTGATTCAAGAAAAATAAAATAAAATTATTGTGTATAGGTGGTCTAAGAATTAATGGATCTGATCATAATCAGATCTTCCTTTTTATTTTTTAATTGTGTGTTTTTATTTGTGTGATTGCAACTGCTTTTTCTGAGTACTTAAAAAGCAACAAATTGAAGATGTTAAAACCATCAGAAAATACCACAAAATAAAATCACCAAAAAAAAAATGAAACTTTAAAAAAATAGCTAGCATGCCCATTAGAAAACACATCTTTAATCCCTGTTATTATTGACATTTGTAACACAATTTCTATATATATGTCGATTTCATTAAAAAAAAATTAGTTTTTAAGATGAGTGATCCGTTCTCAAATTTATATTTTATTTTTTGCTTTATAAAGGAATGAACTTGATCTGCTAAAGGAGAAGAAAAACTAACCTCCAGAGCTTTCCTAATTGCCAGAACCTCCACTTTATTAGATTCTTTAACGCCACTTGGCATTGAAAAAGATACAAACAAATCTCCCTTCATGACCTCTTAGGACCCTTACGTTGCCTGATAGCCCCAGCTTCCCCAAAGAAGATCAATCAGTATTCCATTTAAAACTACATGCCGGTGGCATGCACCAATCAGCAATAGGACTCCTGATTGGATTGGACCATTTTTGTCATGACTCCCATAGTAGGTCATGATCGGTGCAAAAAATATATGGAGAGAGCTATGAGACATATTTTGACTCAAGCAAGCTTCAAATACCTAAATTATAATTATCAAATTTATTGTAATCAAGATATCTTATCATATTCAACTCATAATATCAAATCCTAATTCAATGTCACATCTAATTTACGATACTTATACATATGCAACATAATAAATAACGAACTAATATTGTCACAAATATAACCATAGAGCTTTTAGAATGTGTAATAATATCAAAATATAAGTTCAAAATATTACAAATATATGAGCTATACGATCAATGTGTCAGCTTTAAGACAACGATTCCGAAGAGATCAACCGAAAATCTCACAAACCTTACAAAACCAAAAAAGTGGTATGAGAGCAAAACAATAGTTCAGTGAGTAGATAACATATAACATAACTAAATGAGGGAAACAGACTAACGAACGATAATTTAAAGTATGCTCAAGATGCAATGTATGTTTTTTAAAATCAAATACATACTTTAAATATCAAATCATTACTCATATTTCAAGTTGTTCAAACTCGTAATCAAGACCTCATCTCGAAATACATATAATCAATCAAATCATACCAAATATAGAAAATCTATACTTGAAGTGATCAAATCATATTGTATCATTCGATGCGAACATCCAAAAGCTACATACTTCGTAGCTAGATATACCATCTATTGATTGACACACAAGTTAGAACTACACTTCTCCTACTAGATGAAGTATTTTCATATCAATGAGCTCACAAGCTACGCCTCTCATAGTTAGGTACTCCAAAATAATCAATCAAATCAAAAATTAAATAATCTCACATATATTCTAAAATTCCAAAACCAACATATTCAAAATACAATTCATGCTTAAAATCAAATTTGTTAATGCAATTCAATATCAAATCTCATACTCATAATCTAAGCTTAAATACAAACTCATATTCAAAATTATAAAAATTATACGAATAAAATCAAAATAAAAAATCTTAATCAAACCAATAATTAAATCAAATCTTAAGTGAAACACTTATTAAAAATGCATAATCAAACTTTTTTTAGAATCATATCAAATCATTTTTTGATATCAAATCG